GGGAGGAGAGTGGGAGATGGCAGAGGGTAAGAGATAGGGAATCAAGGATGGGGAGGGGGAGCAAAACATACAGAAAACAAGAAATGGAAGATCATTTGCTGACAATAACATGTTTGTTGATGTGCTTGATTGAGACAATATACAGTGTACTCTGGATGGAAAATCTCATTTTGTATGCTGTAATGATGTACAGTGAATGAATGCAAATAAATAAATTGAAATAAAAATAAATTAAATTAAATTAAAAAAAAAACCATACCAGACGAGTGTATGCCTAAAATCCTGAAAAAAGAATGGTGAAGGGATGGAGGTGCCTCTGGGGGTATTTCCCCCTCTCTCCCCTCCAGTGAGCACACACACCCTATAACAAGGTAAAAAATGAAACTAAACCTCTACCTCACTGCTATGCTGAGCATCCACAACAAGCATTTTAGCCTGCCACTGGTCCACTTCAGCTTCTAGCTTCTGAACCCTCTGTTGATTTAGAGACCTAAAATAGAAAGCACAAAAGGAATGATCAGTGAATAGAGTTATTTAGGAATGATACCACTCGGGAGTTATAGGACATTCTTCCAAGAAGCTTAAACAGTGCCATACATAATTGTCACAGATGCTTAAAATATCTGAGAGTTGGCAGATAACAATTAGTAGCCTTAGCTTCAGGTTAAGGAACAAAGGTTCCTAGGAATTAAATAATGTGTCCCATCTATAATTCAATTTTGTTTGATACAAAGCTATCAATACATGCTACTGACTAATTTATGGGCTGATACATATATATACATCAGGTCCAGCAGGTGGTATAGAGGTTAAGGTGGCTGGATCTCATGGTTTGATTTTCGGACCCTGTGGTTTGAGAAACACACCGAGTGCTTGTGTATGTATGCCCAAAATCCTGAGAAGAAAATGGAGAAGGGATTGTGGCATGGCCATCCCCCTGGGGCAGCAGGTTGTTGGGGGGATTCTTGCTTTCCCTCTCTTTCTGTCTCTCTCTTCCAGGCACATACACCCTATAGCAAAAACTAAAAAAAACAAATCTAAACAAACAAAAAAACCCTCCAAAACAAAATATACCTCACCTCTTAAATGACTGGCTTGCTGTTGAGATTTTTGCTTCTAAATATAATAGATATATAGAAATTTATTGTGAATGTAAAGAAATATTTTTAATGCTGTCCCCTTGCCTTTTTAAAAAATATATTTTTTATTTAAATTTCTTTTATACATTCAATCACATGTGTCACTTAGCTTACAAAGTGAATATTCCAACATGTATACATTTCTCACCAATCCAGTTGGGAATACTATACACATCATCCTCAACAGATAATAACCCATCTCTCTGTCCCACAAATGCCCTGCCCCTCCATTTCTCTTCCCAATGTCCCTCCTCTGTCTCTCCTCTTTCAACTACCCTCTTCCCACACTGTATCCAGTATTTATAATATTTTTTTGTTTCTATATCCTCTAGTCATTCAGTTTTGGCCATAGAGTGCAGTCAGTGTATATTAAGTGGAGACATACAATGTTTCTCCTTCATAGCCTGACTTGCTCCACTCAGAAGTAAATCTTCCATATTCATCCACTTTCTGTCAAAAGTTAGGGTCTTTTTGTTATGGCCGAGTAGTATTCCATAGAGTAGTATATGTGACACTTTTTCAATCCATTCACCTGTTTGTGGACATTTGGGTTGGTTCCATGTCGTAGCAATTGTGAATACTGCCACAATAAACATTGATGAACAAGCACTTTTCCAACTAAGGATTCTTCTGTCCTTTGGGTAGACACCAAGAAGCGGGATTGCTGGATTATATGGTAGTTCTATTTTTAGATCTTTAAGGAATCTCCATATTGTTCTCCATAGTGGCTGGACCAATTTACATTCCCATCAGCAGTGTAGGAGAGTTCCTCTTTCACCACACCCCCACCAGCACTCAGAATTTTTTTGTTAATCTTAGTCATTCTGACTGGTATCTCACTGTGGTATCTCATTGTGGTTTTGACCTGCATTTCCCTTATAATGAGGTATGTCGAGCATTTTTTCATATGCCTTTTGATCTTCCTTAAAGTTAGATTCTTAGAGTTAGTTTAAGCTCTTTCTCCCATCTTTTAATAGGGTTAGTGGTCTTTTTTTGGGGGGACAGCTGCTTGAGTTCCTTGTGTATCCTGGTTATCAGTCCCTATCTGATGCATAGTTTACAAAAATATTTTCCCATTCTGAGGGCTGTTGATTATTGTGTCCTTGGCAGTGAAGAAACTTAATATGATGTAATCTCACTTGTCTATTTTTGGGATTATTGACTGTGCTTTAGGGGTCTTATTTAAGAAGTCTTTGCCTACTCCAATGTCTCGCAGAGTTTCTTCAGTGTTTTCCAGCAGTAATTTTATAGTTTGAGGTCTTAAGTTTAGATCTGTGATCCACTTTGAGTTGATTTTTGTCAAAGGTGAGAGGTAGGGGTTTAGATTCATATTTTTGTAGGTGGATATCCAGTTTTTCCAGCACCATTTGCTAAAGAGGTTTTCCTTTTCCCACTGAATTGACTGGTACCCTTTTAAAAAATCAGTTGTCTGATTGGGAGTTGAATGTTTGGAAGTTTATTTCTGGAGTTTATTTCTCTATTCTGTTCCATTGGTCCACCTGTCTGTTTCTGTGCCAATACCATGCTGTTTTTTTTTTTTTTTTTTTGGGGGGTTTTTTTTTTTTTTTTTTTTTTTTTTCTTTACGGGGCGGGGCCCCCCCAAGAC